TTCATCAGAACTAAACCTTTCCAGTCCTGGACATTCAAAAAAAATTGTACTAATTCTGTACTGCTGCTTATTCCATTTGGTGAACGTTTTTCGAAGCGATTTATGAACCTCTAAAGCTACTCGTCAGGCAACTCGATTAAGTTGTGCAAAAGCCATATTTTTCGGGATGAAAAACATCTCCTAGGGCACCTTGAACGTGCTTTTCGTGGAGCCGACAAAAACACTTCCTTGTTCTCGTACACAATATGGTTTGCTCCTAAGAAATTCCTCAAGCACGTACATATCTCACTATTAAAGGTTTCATCAGAAGATATTATGTTTTATTAGCACCCATACACTTTGTTATATCATTCATAATGAAGTTGTGAGTTCTTAGATGATCATACTGCAAGAGCCATAGTTACGAGTAAGCCGTTAGCAAGCAGGATGAGATCACCTCTCCTACGCCTCCCTTCGTCTACAATGAAACGCCACATAGGTAAAGATTATTTGGAGGATGGGCAGTTTTAGGTACCGACGAGCAGTGGAGGACAGGGTGAGGGCCCTGAGAGAACTGCGCCGACGTGCCTAAACTAAATCGCAGCCAAAGCGATTCATCCTCGCAGTGATCAGTATCGCATACCATTTTTCGGATTTCCTAACCCGTGCCCCCAGGATTGTTATCTACGGGGCCTCTCAAGGCAAGTGGCACGGTGAATGAACGAGAACAAGGTCGATGCTCCGCCGCCCGCCCACAAATGGCCGCACAGTCACAGCGTGCTCTTACAGCTTCATTTATGAAGTACCTTTGATATGAAGTGTTGCTGCATGGGTATATGAATCCGCACGTGCGTATCTATCAAGGCAGTTGTTGACGCGGTGCCAACGAGAAACTCGTACAAAGATGCTCGTCCACTGCCGCGCATAACAGAGGTCTTGGTAGGTTTTTGACCGTTTCACTTCGCTTTTTCTTCATTTTCCCACTTTATAGCTACCCTGCTACTATATTTGCAAGTACCAAATTATCGTGCCTTATATGTCCGAAGGCGAACCTCTGTTATGATACTCATGTGGATGATGATTTACAGTCCTCATCATTACGTACTGTCGGGGCGGTTCAGTGCGGCTGCGTTTGGCGCGGTGCCAAACCCGCTCTCCACCAGTATTTAAAGCGAGCAAATGATATGACTGTATTATATCCTCCGTATTACTCGTTTTCTACCACTTTTTGTCGCATATCAACAAAAGGCTGAGAACGGCTTCAACAGTGTGTACACTCATACTGGCTCCCACGCCCCACCGGTCCGCAATGATGAGGACTGTAGCTACTGTGAGTTGCGAAAAATTTCGCAGAATCAACGTATTAGTTGAGTAAAAGAAGTGCAAAAAAAGTTGTTTGTACAAAATATCTGATGTTTGGTTTCAAGTCTTTCTTTTATCCAATCCCAATGGATTCAGTTTTGCCGCCCTAGATACACCTATAATAACCCTGAACAAATTACTTACTGAAGACTGCTATGAGTATTAGCAAGCATTAAGGAATGCGTCAAATCAGCTGGAGACGGAAATGAAACGTTTCAAGCAATTGAAATACTATTTTCGTACTTTATAGGCCATTAGAGTATTCTACAATCCGGACGTGCCCATCTGCTTGTGGAAGCTCTACAGATAATTACTGTGCCTTTTTTCAGGGTCGCACTACTTCCTTCCTTTTTCGCGTCATGTGAGAGTCCCGAGGTAATTTTTCCAGGCTTACTGAGTTGTGAATAAACTCAGAAAATGACCCGTAGCCCTTCGAGATATGTAATTTGATTGCAGTAAAGGATAAAAGAATAAAGCCTCTGCGATGGATCAGCCCTTTTATGGGATGCGCCATGCATTCTGTCTCCATTCCGAATCGTGGTGGTTATTGAGTGCCTGTGTAGCCTATAAAGTGTCCTGCGGGCCAACCGATGTACAAAGTGTTTCCAACCACTCAGACAAATCTAGTACCCCTTCGTCGTAACCGGAGGGTAGAAGGCTTCACTTGCTTCAGCGGCAGCCGACCCGAGTGCTGACCCCACTCATGAATTTAAGTCTGGAACGCAGACGGGACTCGAATCCGCACCTCAAGGGCGAGTGCGCTATCCGTTACGCCTTTGTGGCCGTTATCTCGGGGTGATTCGAAAGTCAGTTGCATCCTAGCGCGGACCGCCTTGCTATGGGCACATGTTGTCATGATTCCAGCAAGTGATAGGGCGTGCAAGGGGGCGTGAGTTGGTTCGCAGCCAGAACCGCCTTCTCGCCAATTGTTGCGGGCTCATAGGCGACATCATTGGAGGAAATACCGCTTGGCAGCGCTCCAGTCCACGTTCCGTTACACGCCCTATCGTTTGCGGGGACTGTATCTCTTCATCTTTTTGAGCCCATGATCAGTGGTTTCATGTACTTTCGTTTTTCTTTAGAGAAATATTTCTTCGTATCTTTAGCACGTGGAAACTTATAGCATTAAAGAGTGGTCAAATAAATCACATGAGGAGAGAAAATTTATGAGCGCGCATGTATGTCACGCGGTCTGGAATGTGTTAATTGCGGCTAAAAGATCGTGTCCATTTGCCACGGTCCTTAGCTTTTCTGGCGAAAGCGGGCTAGTCGGCCCTTCATGTCTCCATATCTTTTTGAAAGCGTAATAGCTAATCGGTCTTTCATGTTTCTACATCCTCCTAAAAACATAATGAAGTAGTAGATTTTTACGGAAATGAATTTTACTGATTGAATTTTTCTCACTCTATGACTCATGGTCATCGCCCTGACAACTAGTAGTGAGAAAAAAGGTTTTCCTGAATTGCTTGAATTCTTGTTGAAACCTCTGTGTCTCTATGGACGTTTCTCATTTATGGACACGACCAGAAAACGTTTCGTGCCTCTGAAAATTTGATTAAGTGCTTCGCTTTGGGACCTACAAATTCCTCTTTCTTAGTTACTCCGAACACTTTTCATCATACTTTCACCTTTTTTGTCAGGACACTTTTGCCTGCACTGGTACAGAGTTCTTGTGTAATAACCAACTGTGACCTGCCAGTGAAGGAAGTCTGCCATTCGATGTCCTACATTGAAAGGTAGGTAGAAGATGGGGTTACTGACAGCCCCCAACTTCACAGCATCTATGCGGTTCACGAAACCTTTGATAAGCCAGCGCTAAAACTCGTTCCCTCCCATGACCATGGGAAAATGGTTACCGATCTAAGCGAATAGATTCAGTCGGAGCCCTCTGACATGTAAGAAGCTAATGATCCTGAAAGGACTTACTCTTCAGATTTCTGTCCTCATTTTTTGAATTTTTTAGGTTGAATTATTCACTGCCGGGGGTGGCACCTGGGGGAACACATCTGCTCCTACACTTCGAATTAGGGCCTTAAGTGATAGTGAAGCGCTTGCCTAACAACATTCCTTCACGTCTGGAAACAGATTCCAGCTCTGTCCCAGGCCACCAGTCAAGGAAATCGGTGAGAATTTTGGTGCATAGTTTGAAAAAATGTAGACGTTTCCTTTAGCCTCTTATTTGCACGAGTCCCTGTGATACGCCAGTCCACAAGGCTCATCCGTGATTAGAGTCTGGGTTCAGTCATTATCACTGTAATTTAAACTGGCGTGTTCGTCAGCGGCGCGTGGGTTTGCGTACGGCGCATCGTTTTCCAATATCGTTCACTGCGCTTATAAAGTTCCAACTGAGCTATCTGGGAAAGTGGCTGGTGTGGCGATCAAACAATAACAAGTAATTTAAATGACCATTGTGGGCAGGGTGTAACACAACAATTTCGTATCAGTGCATGCAATCCTTCCATGGTAGTGCCTACGGTCTTCTTGGCTGCGGATGATAGGACGAGTCAAGAAGGGGTGACTTTGGCGCCGCGCCATCCCGTCTTATCCCTTTTTCGCCAGTAACAAGGTTGTATAATAATGTTCGTGTCAGTTGATCTCCACTAAGCTGTTGTCGCTTGGCTGCTTCAACGACTAGCGACGTACGGGCTGGCAGCGCGCCAAACCCAACCTCACTGACACGCCTTTTTTTCCGCAGCAAACAAGACTGCAAGCCTGCTGGGTATAAGAAAGGACAAAAATTTGAGTTGATTGATTGATTGCTTTGATTCAAACGATCGTACGCCTGGCCAAAGCGTTATAAGTGCCACTTGCTCCTAAAAGCCACTACCCTTTCCAGTTGACCAAAGCATAAGTTGTTCTTCACTATTTTGCAGCACTTTTTTGTCCTACTACTTCCACTACTTGTACTTTACTTCTACTACTTTTTCTACTTTCTTCTATACTAGAACTTCTTCCATATTTTCGTGTTTTGAGCCAATATGGTGATCGCTTTTTCTTCTATCAGAATTGAACAGACGAATGTCTCAACATCTTGGCGTCCTATGGTTCACCCTGGAGGGAGGCGTTGCCAAATGTAAGGGATGCCTTAATTGGTTGTTTAGGCAACACACCAATCATGCGCGTCTGTTGCACTCTCGTCATCACATCCAACTCGAACCAGCGCAGCAACTAATCTTGTGAAGTATTCCTGCTACTAGCCTCTTGAACAGGGAGCTTTATCTAACTAAATTTATTTGAGTATTGTGCTGTCCCGGAGTGTCATTTCTTATCTGAATGTGTAGTAACAATGTGAAACTCCAAAAATTTACTCCAAAAAACTTTCGAGACTTTTGGTGTCTTTCGAGATTTTTTGGAATAAATTTTTTGGAGTTTCACATTGTTACTACACATTCATATACTTGTTTCCTCATTCTTTCTCCAACTTTGCCTTTCTGTTTTTTACTTGAACATTTCCGTTTCACATGGTTACTTGCTTCCTCTCCCATTCTCGAGTACGTAATGTATTCATCTCCAGTCAGAAATTTTCCACAGTTTGTCCTCGTCTATGCAAATAACTATTAAGTAAATGAAGTGCCAGTGTATTCTACGTCGTGAGCGCTGCCGTAATAATCGTGAGAACTCTGTCTGCTATTGAATTTTGCTTCTAAGGTGAGACTCGTATGCTGGACTTGTTTAATTTACTCGGATGGGGAGACTTTTGGAATGGTGAGGACCTACCTGCAAGCGCCTCATCGCGTCTAGTTCATGTTGTGAATATTTCACAGGTACGATCGTTCTTCTATCGTTATTCCTTTCATTCAAATCGATCCTCGTTCATAGTTCGTTTGTATTGCACATCCTCGAGATGTGGTGGGCGTGGTCACGTAGCTCATTTGAACGCGGCGGCGTCTGGGGTTTTGGTGAAATATTTTCATTTGGAGCAACTCTAATTTGCCTCGAGCTGATAGATCGCAGGCACAGCTCATCCTACTCCATGTCCAAATGCAGTACTCAGCCACGCCTACCGTTTGAATCATATGTGGGGTGCGGGCTGAGAGATCCACAGTATGATGGCCCCCACTAGCCGGCCCCTACTAGCCACTATACATCCTTACTGGTTGCCTCGAGACGCTAGTGGCAACTTTGAGATACCCTGGGATGTACCCTCAAAATTCCTGAGATGCGGTGGGCGTGGCTGCGTACTTCAACTAAACGTGGCGGTGGTTGTGCTTTTGGTGAGATATTTTCATTTTGACACAATTGTGGTTCATGTCTCTGTCCAACAATGAACAAGATGACAGTTGTCTCAAACTGGAATATCCTAGCTCATTCTATGCCATTTTCGAATGCCACGCCTGCTCCCTTTCATCAGGGACAAGGAGTGTACATTTTCTGCATCGCTACTATTTAGCAATAGAAAAATAGGAAAAATAAAAATAATAATAAAAAATAGAAACCAAAACTTCACCTTAGGGCACGGAATGCAATAAATTAATCGTCAATAGAAAGGATAGCGTTACATTTTTCAAGCAGTATTTTTTATAGCTATTTATAACTACTACTGATCGATCCTCTTTACAGAGCCAACCACCATGGCTGGCCCGACCGCTTTACGGCTTGGCCGCTCCCGCTATCATCCTTGTCACCCTGGTCACGAATTCCTTCGTGGTTGTAGTATTATCTAATAAAAATCTTCGAACACCTACCAATTACATACTTTTATCCATGGCCATTACTGAGCTCATGACAGGTAACATTATTTTATTTTTTGGATTCTAAGTACTATAGTTTGGAAGTTTGCTCGTTACAGGCCTATCGTCTTGCCCCTGGTTTTTGTACTATTACACGTTTGGAGGTTTATACGTCGATCAAGAATATGGTCTTCCAGATTTTTGGTGTAAAACACATCCTTACTTTGCTGTCCATCTTCCTACAATGTGAGTGAAAATAGTGATTTTATGAACATGATTTATGATTTTTTATTGATTGAGGAGACGGGCAAGAGAATCGTAAATTGCCGCTTCGTCGCGCGCGGCAATGGGCGCGACGTTTCCTTTGCACTACCCTTTCGATTGGAGCATCGGATTTCATGTAGACAAGGACATGGTGGACACTTATGTCTATTTTTGGTCATACATTGTCTATTCTCGACCAATACCACCTAAAATCGTCGTCATTAGCGGGCGCGACGTCGCACGCGACGGGCGAATTACGATTCTCTTGCCACATACCCACTTGAAATTCTAGGGTGATTCATAGTATTCCTCACAGCAGACGCTGAACCATTTTAGGAAGTCTGGGTTTGGCGGGTCGCCAGCAAGTTTTTCACCAATTATGACCGGTTTTCAGCTTCTACAAACAATTGGTGAAGAACAGGGTGGTGCCGCGTCAACCCCCAGCCACAGCCCTTCTGGCTCCACTGCGATCAGGGCTGTATGCGCAAAAAGGCTGTATTGAAATAAGTTTCTCTGATGGGGGCTCTCCTGGCGATGCCGCAGTCTGCGTGTCTGTCGTCTCGCTCGCCCACTAGTTCTCTCCCTCTTTGTCTCTTGTCCCTTGCCAGGCTCTCTTTGTCTTCTGCTACTTTGCAATGATCGTCCAGGTCTACGGACAACTAAAACTCAATTCCTTTAATGGCGCCAACTTTCTGTTTTTCTCTGCGCTCTCTTGCCTGAATGGCGCTTTATGGACCACTCTGACCTTTCACATTCCAACTTTTCACGCATACTAAGTGGCTCATCCACCCCGGTGTCCCTCCCCTCATCTCCTGGCTCGCATCATGTTTTTGTACCTCACGATGCCTTGGCAGTAGCAGTCCCTTTACTGCTCTGCGCTCTGGCCTATCGTGGCAGGACCCCCTACCAAAATTTTCAGTTGTCACGTACCGATGACCAAAACTGCAATAAAGTGAACCTCATTCTAGGCGTTTTGACGGTTTGACCTGCTTTTTCCCACCGGGGTAAGATAACTAGCACCCACATTCCTTAATTGGATTCCCATTACTCACGGTTTGTGATCGCGAAATTGTTTTTTGCTCCAATTACTGTGGATAAACAAAGTAATCGCTAATCTATCTTTCTGCTTTTCGCTTCTGCGAACCATTTCAAGCCGTTAATTCGTGCTGCACAATAATCCCGACTACTCAGTGATGGAATACTTGAGAGACCACCCTTATCTTTTCAGATTCCACACCGCAGCTATATGGTTAACTGTATATTTGGCTATTCAACGATATATTTATGTCTGCTTACCTTCGCTAGTTGTAAGGTACGTGAATTATGTGTATGTAACCTCTGTTTTTGTCAATATTACTAACTGTTCGGGCAAAAAAATCTGACCGTGACAGGCCTTGCCTCCTATTAATTGAGCTACCAGCTAATTAGCTAATTTTTAGATTCTGCACTCCACGAACAACGAGGCATATTATAATTTACATTTGTGTATGTGCTTCTCTTAGGTGAGCTTATCTTGGGTGAAGCCTAAAACTTCATGAATTTCGATGAATTTTTTGAATTCCTTTCACAGTGAGCTGCCCGTTATGTGCACGGAGTATAGTGTCAGTGTGATGACAACGAATACGACAAGAAGTTGTTTTCACAAAGACGTGGATATAATCGATAAGGTTCGTAAATTACAGGTCATACGCCGCGATCCGGCAGGGCGGTGCCAGGGGGCGGGACGAGCCACCCGTGGCGTTTTCTACCATTGGTTGTTTCTTAACTGACCACTATTGGTAGAAAACGCCGCCGTAGCTAGCCTCACTTCATGCCTCCTGATTCCAGTTTCCAATACGCTGAAGGATTGCCACAATTGATTTTTGGATAACTTTCAGAGTACAAAGACAGTAATTTCAGGTGATAGGTGTGGACTCGTGGAAAGCGCTGATATTGTGCCTTCGTGCTCTACTAGTGCATATCTTGCCATGTGTTCTATTGATCATCTTCACTACGTGCCTTTTCAAAACCGTCAATGAAGCCGATCGTAAGCGTAGTGTACATCAACTGCCAGGCCGTAAAGTGGTAAGTATACACTAGTAGACATTTCCTTAGCTCAAAAACAATCTTTGCACACACTTCATAAAAGCTCGCACCATGTAACGTTCTACAGCAACATTTTTTTCAACATTAAAAAAATGACCCCAAAAAGAAGGTCCGCAGCAACCGGTTAAGCATGGTGATGATTCCTGAACGAGTGGAACTAAAGGGGTATTTGGGAGCTCCCATGCGGCCCTTCAGCCCAGTTACGTCTTTTTGAAAATGCAGTTTTTCAACTTTTGGAATATTATTTATATATTCATACACAAAAAATAAATAAGAGCGGTTTGAACTCGCAAAAAAGGGCAGGCAACAGCCAAGTGTCCTCTATGATTATTATAGGAAAAGTGAATAATGTAGTGACCACGAGGAGTTACAGAAAAACTGAAGGATCACAACTAAGAGGAAAAATAGTTACTATGAAGTTTCGGGGATAAGTTCACGCTTCTGCCCATTTTCCAGTCAGGGCCGCTTATATTTAATAAGCGCCCTTATCTAAAAGATTTAAGTATAGACTGTGTATATCATGGATATGCCAGAGATGTATACGTTTCTCGGCTCGGCTCTCATCTTCGTCCCATAGTAATTGGCTTCGTCACTCGTTGCGGGGGAGAAATTTCGGTTTTCGGCCCTTGAACTAGTCTCGTTACTACGCCATCTCAGCCCATAGTGTTGGGATTGAAGGAAGGGGGATCCACCAATATGTGGTACTCGCGTGCACTTGACTGCTTAACTTTAAGATTAGAGTGTATGTTCTGACTACATACGTATGTAGTAATATTTTAAATTGTTGTTCACCTAATAGGTACTAACAGTTTAAGTGTGAGGGCACAAAGGTGGGATGCCCCATAAGAATGTTTCTAGTTGTTTAGACACCGCTTTTGTAGTCATGAAAGTGAAGTGCAAGGACGGCAGGGTGACCGACAGTGGGGTTTGGGAATGGCAGAAGTCCTTTACTGCTCCTTTTTGAGATGCGCCATGCATAAGGCCCCATTTCAGAATTGTATTAATTGCGATAACCCAAAACATAACTCATTGCTCTTACCCTCATCTGGTAATTGGTATCTGATTCCTGGAATGTTGGAAGGCTTGGCTGGCACCGGCGGATTTCACCCAGGAGTTGTTTCCCATTCGTGTGCCAGTGGTGCCATTTTACCCACTTCTACCTCCTCTCTTGTGAAGTATAATAATGAGAAACTTTTTTGTCTTCTGAAAATTCTTCTAAAGTGAAAAAATGAGTGTTTGGAAATTTCAGTGGATGTTTAGCTGAAAAAAAATGAAATGGTTCTGTTTAAAGCGTGTAATATGCATGTGTATGCCTAGACTTCATATCTCGGAAATGCGGAGGAACCACTGTCATTGTCCCTCAGGCACGGGGCGTGTGAGAGGGCGTGGATTTGGGCCCTACAAGGGCGGCCTTTTCCACCAATTGATGCCACCCCGAGTCGCAGCATATGGTGTAAAAGACTGCTCTGGTCTTTGCAAACCCTCTCGTTTGCATGGATAATGACTGTAGTTATGAGCGTAGCGGCGCCACATAAGAGCTGATACAGTGAAAGGGGCATACAGGGTGTGCGTAAGAGAGCGCAGACGGCACAACAGAA